TGTGAGCTTTGTACTGGATTTATGGATCTTGTTTCAGGAAGGATTTAGCAAGCATTGTTGTTAGTCAGTCCATTCTTTCCATTAAACAAGCTGTTCTGGGCGACCCTTTCCAAACTTGAATTCATCAGTCTCAGATTCATATTGTTTTTGCTTCCTTCCTTTAATCTCTGTTCCACACTGCAAGGATTGTGTTTGGTTGTTTTTATTTTCCATGAAACCTGAGCAGGGACTGATTTTTATGTAACTGAATGGAAACACTCTACCACTGAAAAGATGGTCTATATTTCACCTCAGAAAGGTGAAATGTTAAGCCAAAATGCAGCGCTTTCCTCATGCGTGTATACACACACCCCTTCCAGCTTGCTCCTCTTTAACTGATTATGCTACATGAAAACTGAAGCATTAAGCTGGGTTCATATCAGCTCGTGCAGCCAGCGTTGTCTTGCCGAGGGCTTGAAGAAAGCATTTGTCTTGGGGAAGTATTAAAAATGGAAAACCTTTTCCTGAACACACACAGGAAATAGAACGGTGAGCTGGTGGGCAGAATTGCTCTTAGAAGCACAGAAATTGTGACTTGTTAGTGGTATGGCTAGATGTAATTTTTTTTTTGTCCTTGTTGGTTTTTTTAATACTTTATCTTTGCCCATAGCAGTTTGCACTCTTCAGAGGCTGCCCTTTGCTGGTCTCCGGATCAGGGGAAAGGAGTCTGCCTCCTGCTTGTCTTGTCTTTAGCAGTCCTCTTCCAACTTGGCTCTGAACCACCACGGCATCCCTTGACTCCTTTCAGTGGGTCTGTTGGAGCAAGGCCCTCTGGCTTTAGGCCCCTGAACATTATCTTGTCAGCCCTAAGCTGCGAAGTAGATAGCAGCCAGAAAATCAACTTGCTGAGTGCGGGAGGAATAAATTATAGTACTGTTTTTTGTTTGTTTTTTAACTCAATGTAGCCATTCTTAGAGGCCATTGTGTAATACTAGATGGGATAAAATAATTAGAGAAAAAGAATGATCATGGGACGCTTTTCTTTTCCCCCCAAGTTTTGTATTTCCATGAGGGTAGAGAGAATTTTCAGCACAACTACTGTGTCGGGGCTGGCTGGGCAAGTAGCAAGAGACTGCCTGCAAAAGTAAATTCAGAGATGCTTCTGCACCGCCTTTCAGAGATCGGGCTTGTGAAAACTGTGCCGTATTGGAAGGTGCCACTAGTGAAGTCTTAACCTTGTTGTTTTTCGGTGATCCAGGATCCAAATGGAAATGATGCCTGTAGCTCTGGAGTGCTTAAAGGCTCTAATAGCTTTTGTATATTTACTTTGATAGAGAGATTTGACATAAAATCCCCTCTGCTTGGAACCACTCTTTGGCTTGATTTTATGCTCTTCGCATGAGATGATACGTAGTGCAGTGGGTATTGATGATGTAGTAATCTACAAAAAGATCACCTTGCCCTGAATGGATTTTGGTAAATTCTCTGCTTAAAATTTGGTTATCTTCCAAATTTTCCATTGATTAAATGTATTTGAATTCCTTTAGAAATCTCTTGTCCTTGTGTAAATATTTATTCCATGTCACAATGAAAAGACAGCAACCATGCAGTATTTATTGTACCTCATTACTCAGTGATTCTCGATCTCATTCAACTTTATATTGGATGCGATCTGCAGAAAATATGGTGGGTTTTGTTTTTTTTTCCTCTTTAAATGCTGTCTTTTCTAGTCACTTTATTGTATTCAACGTATGTCTCAGACTTAAATTAGCCTGAGGGAGTGTAGGACAGCTCTTGTTGGATGATTACTCGACCGAAGGTTTTTAGACTGTCCGTAATTTCTGGATCTTCAGTAGATAGTCAGAGGCTTGAACAAGACTTCTTATGTCTCTCATCTGCCAAACTACACGTCTTTGGTCAAGTTGTTGATACTTGCCTTGCCATAGTGTTAGACGGTAAACTGAGCAAATGTGAACAAGCACCATAGGAGGAGTTGGTCATCCTTTTGTTTTCTGAAGGCATTTAAGAGGCTTGGAAGTAGTCTGACTTAATGAAAAGCTGTGTTGATGTCTTCAGCTTGTTAATGATGGAGTTGTGGGTGTAGGTACGCAGTAATTCATCAGTAAGCAGAATTCATATCCTCTGGGCAGTGAGGTGTGGCTATAATATATTAGTGAACTTGTTTTCTTTCGCTTGGTGTAGCTCTGGGGTTTCTGATGTCTTGGCTGTGGCCTGAGGATGTGGAGACTAGACTTGATAGAGCGGCTGTGATGAAATGGGTGTGGGCGATCAGGCCAGGTAAATACACGGCGGCAGCCTGATAGGACTGGCTTTATTTAGCCTGCTACAAACGGGGCAGACTTGTGCTGTACCTCTAGGACTGAAGGATACAAACTGAGGAACAACCTTACTTCTGGTGAAAGCAAACTCGCTGATGGTTCTGGAAATTCATAAAACATACTATTTAATGCATCTGATGTTTTAGAGATACTTGCCTAATGTAAGGTACATGACAGGAGAGGATTTGGCCATCAGATTCTCTCTCAGAATATTAGTTCGGTTGCTTAAGTGCCTGCTTGGCAATATCGGTCGTTTGGGGTATTTTTTTCTTTTGCCTTTGTGTTCTCGGATGGTGAAAGAACAAGTGGGCAGAAGATGGGAGGGATAATGGAATAATAAACACAGTGCTGGGTAAGAGGAAGGATCAAGAGGTGCTCAGGGATGTAGCCTGTCTCTTCCTCTTCCCTCTCAGTCCACTTACAACAAAACTTTAAGAAGGTAAGAGTGCAGGATGTAATTCAGTCGAGGTTGGAACAAAAGCAACTCCCTCCTTTCACCTCAACCAACATTTGCTTGTTGTCTCAAACCAAGGTGAGAAATACTTTTAATTACATATCTAGCAAGTTCTCCCCCTAAAGGGAATGAAGCAGCCTTCTGACCTTGTGTGTTTACTGCCTAATGAGTCACTCTATGCTGCCTGGACGTATGTTTCCCTTCTATCTGTAGCTCTGTGAACTTCAGCCCGCATGCAACATTTGCATGCTAATCTGAATTTGTCCTCGCAATCTGTTAGTTACCACAGAATTGCCCCTGCTTCTCTGGTGGCAAACCGATGCTCACCCTCTTAATGCCATGTCAGTGTGGTTGAGGCTCGCCGCGTTAACGCTGTGGCTGCATAGGTTTGTGGAGAACGCAGCCTGGGTTCCTGTCCAGTGCTCTCGCCAAAGAGAGCTTCTTCTCTTTGTGTAAGTTTTCTGCTTTACAATGTCATGCTTCTGTGTTAATTTTTTTTTCTGCCCGTGCTGTTCTTTCTGAAGACGTGTTAATACCCTACACCGAGTGCATTAGCTTAGAGGGGCTGGAGCTGTTACACTGCAGTCCATCTCGCAAAGGGGCCCGGGGCCTCGCCAGCTGGCCAGTGAGAAGATGCGTGTTCCTTCATGTACTTCTTTTTTTTCTAAAATAGCTTCAGCCTTGTATTTTTGTGATCCCAGTGTACTTAGGGAGAAACAGTGCTTTTCTTTTTCCATGAATGGCTATAAAAAGTGCCCTGTAGCAGTTAGTGCCACACAAAGAATTTGGGTTTCTTCTTCCAGAGAGGGCTTTGGCTTCTCTGGAAATTGGTGGGTTTTCACAGTGAATTTGGCACAGCCTGTTCCCAGATTTGGCTCGGTGACCTTGCTGCTTTCTCCTTACCTTATGCATCTGTCACCTGATTGGAAATGGAGTAGAGGAGGGGATTTAGAGGGTGGTAACTAAGCAGCAAGGAGGCAGCATTATGTCTGTGTCAGGTTGAATGAATAGCTTCAGTGTTTGGAGGCAGTGAGGAATTTTGGACGCACAGTCCAGTGAGTCACAAAAGGTCTTTGGGAGGGAGGCAGGGGGGAGAGGGCAATGTTGGGATACAGCTGATACTGTTTCAGAAATGTTATTTGTGCTGAACTTGGTATCACTTGTGACTCTCCTGGGATCTCTCAGAAGCACCAAAATATTTGAATGTTGGTCTCAATATGGTAAAAAGCATATTTAAGAGTGTCTTATCCTACGTAACACCACCTGCTCAGCAGATTCTGGTGCAAACATCTGCTGTGCTCTTGCAACTGAAGCAGCCTTAATTTATATTACTATAACTAAGGAGGGATTAGCTGTGTTGAGAAGATCTCCAAACCGAGCATTACAAGTCAGTGGAGGTTGCCCTTGAGTCTCTGGTAGAGCAGATTGTCTGTATACGCTCCTGGAAACGGGCATCCAAGGGAGACTTGACAGTGGGAGCGTTCTTCCAAAACAGGAATATGGGATCTGCATCACCACCGCACTCCCTGGCAGTTTGGTTCATAGAGGGTTTATCAGCCAAAGCCCTGAATGGCACAATTACAGAAGGGAATTCTGGCAAACCTCGGCAGCCTGGGACCCTGCAGAGCCCGGGGTGTCTGCGGAGAGGCTGAACGAATGCTGCTTTGAAGCTGCTGTGCCCTGTCGATGGCTCTGGGAGCATTTCAGCTGTTTTCGTGTTACTCCAGGGAATGCTGACCCTGCTTAGAGGACTGCGAGTTGCACGGGCCTGTGGTAGGAATTCCCAGGGTTTAAGTAGTTTTCTGTGGGCTGGATCCAGCTTGTTTTTGGCTAGCTATGCTCTAAAACATCGACTCGCAGCCAGTGCCATGGGCCAGTCACCAAACATGAAGAATCTATGGTCTGATCTGTTTTGAGGAAAGCCTTCGTGAAGTACAGCAGTTTTTGCAGAATTCGAAAGGAGCTGAGAGTCCAGGAGTTGTTGAAACAAAGTCTTAATTCTTTCATTAAATTTAGACTCTAGCTCTGAAAAGAAACAGAGCATCCTGTTAGGCTTTGACTTTCCATGGTACAAACATTGCCCTATTATGTAATAACTTGCATTTTGTTCTTAATTTGTATTCTTTTGTCTCGGAAATAATGTGTAAATTTCTAAACAAATGGACAGTATAGCTTTTTAGGTGGAATCATACCTGGACTAAAATCTGTTTCTTCCCCCTTCCTCCCAGGAATTTTCTGAACTGGAGAAAAGAGATCCTCAGGAGCTAGTTGGTAAGTTAATGTCCAGACACCTCTGTGAGAGCCAGTATAACCAGGAATGATGATGGATACTGTGGCTTCAAAAACTTACCTAAAATGCCTCACTTAAATATGATCCACATAGCGACTTATAGCTGCTGTGTTGACATAGTGTAGTGAATGTTTTCTGATGGTTACTGGAAGTTTTGTGACATCTCTCTCATTCATTGCACCACTATTAGATTTGGAAAAAATGCTTGGAAAGTCCAGGGTCATCAGCTGGAAACAATATCCTCTGCTTGGTCTCTCTGGAGCTGTACAGAAAGTGTATTTTCTGTTGAAGCTCTGACTATCTTGAACTAACCCTTTGTTCCTGAGGTTACTAGTACAGTTGTGTGGTAGCATGTAATAATATCATTAAAAAAATAATGAGTTTAGGCATTGCTTCATTACCTGACAGGGCTCAAGCATGATATTTCAAGCCTACAGTGTGATAAACATCACATAAGACAGTAAATACTAAGATGCTAAGCTGCGACTCCTATGACAGCCATCACTCAGAAATTTTGGACTTAAGTCCTTTTCAGTTGGCCTGTCCAGACTTTGCGCTAACCTGTTATGTTGAATTTTCAGCCTTCAGAGGGTAAAACTGCTTTAACCAGTCTCATCATAGACCGCAACAGAGATCTTCAAACTACTGATCTGCCTCAAAATACACACTAGAAAAAAGGATGAGAGAACAGCATTTAGGGTGAAAAGTAAACAAGAATATCTGAAAGCTAACAGCCCTTCTACTGTCTACTTCACATATGGGTGAAGCTCTACACTTGTAAAGCAATGTAGTGCGTAGTCCTATAAGGCTCAGGTTACAGTTTTGGTAGTCATCTTTTTCCCCCAGTGACTGCCCCATCCACGAGAGATTAGAAGATTGAATCTCATTTGTCTCCTGATAGCCCAGACCTGCATGCAGGCTTAAAAGCTGAACAGAGCACTCTTGGTACAGTGTCTCGCACTCGTGAGTGGACAGCGTTGGTGAGTCTGAGACCTGGATTAAGGTTTGCAATACATCTTTCATATCCTTTCCCAATAGTAGTGCACACACAGCAAAGTGTAAGCGAGCTTTGTGCAGAACCAGGTTATTAGAGTTCAGCGTACTTGCCGTGCTGGATTCGGTAGGTCTTTTGCATCAGACCATATCTTATCTAGTTGAAAAGGCACTGTTGCAAGAGCCTTATGGTTGGTGTAACATGAGAACCACTCCCTTCCTGGTAACTTTGACTTCCAGAGTTAGAATTCTTGAATGGAAAAGGGTGCAGGATTTTCTGACATAAAGCAAGTAACTTCTCCAATCTGAACATCTAAAGTTTTGTCTAATGTCAGTATGTGGAAGTTGAAGTCACCCTTAAACAGGTTTCCACAACTGCTTTTTGCATTAAAAGCTTGTGGGCCTGCCCTTCTCAGAAGATAAGCTTATGTTGTTCAGCATCACCTTTATTAAAAGTCCGTGGTTATGTAGTTGCTGAAGTACAGCATAAATGTAGGCTCGTGCCAAAAGTAATGTTTCTGTTTAAACTCCCCCAGTGTCATGCTAATGTTTGTGTGCCTTGAGCTGATCTGGGCGTTGGAGCCAGCTGAGATCCACCTTCACTGGTCTGGTCTTTTTTTTTTTTTCCTTTCTTCCCCCCCCCCCCCCCCCCCCCCTTCTCTTCTGCAAGACTTTCAGCTGGATCCATTCCCTGATCTGCATAGTGCATGCTAGGTGAGCACTAGAGTTGACACAAGGAAAACAGCAGGGATGAGCAGCTGGGAAGGGCATGGTCCTGAAGTAGTGATCACATAATCAGAGAATGGGAGGGGAGATTTGCAGCAGTAACTGCACTGTAGTTGAGGAGGAAGTACACGTGAAACTTACTTTGAAGAGTACACGGTGCTGGTGGACTCTGCATTTGCTGTTTCCTGCAGCTTTGCAAAGTAATCCTTTTAGAATACACTTTTTTTGCCCTGAAGTTCTTTGCAGCATGGTTGTTTACCTTTTGTACTGTAAGAAATGTTCTCTCTAGCTCTTAGGATATCCGAGCACAAAGTCAGTGTTCATAAGAGCAGAAAATATGGCTGAGTTGCAGGTCTTTTTCTGCATTTCTCAGCCCACAGAGCAGAAAGGGAGCTAGTGTCCTTCCATGGATGGGTGACTCACTGGCATGTTGTTGCCTCCAGTTCTTCCCTCTGATTTGGCTGTTCTGGTGCCAGGAAATCGGAAACCCACACGCCCTGGTTTATGCCAAGCAGACTTGATTAGAGTGCCAAAGAATGCGGTTTTAGAGACCAGGCACCACCGGTTTGAGTGTCTCCAGGGGAAATCCGTGCCCCTCTGATCACCCTTTCCACGGCTTTGCTTGATTTTTTTGCATAGTGTGACCTTTATAGACAACCTGGCACCTGGTCCTGCCCGCACTACCTTGTGGCTCCTTAATGCACAGCATGCAAGTGAACCTTGAAAGGGACCGGAGTTCTTAATCCTACCTGGGGAGCAGTGTTATTCACTGAGAGCGCTGAGGCAAGATGCTTTACCAGACCTCAGATGATCCACGTCCCAATCTGTCCAGGTACAGCCTGCTCTCTCGTCCTGTCTACTCTAGTCTTTTGGTTTTCTCCGCACTAGGGAAAAGTGCGTACCCATCAGTAGGAAACACAGCTCCTGTGTGCCCCCACCATGTCTCCAGCATAGCCCGTGGACTGTGAGCAGCCATTTCCTTCTGGAAGGAGCTGAGTGCACCGTTTGCACTGTGGCACTCTCTCTCCTGCTATGCAGTACATCTGTGTACTGTTGCATATATGGTTAAATAACCCATCTATCTGAAACTGAAGCGGATTAAATGTAGCATTTCCATTTAATTATCTGCCTCGCCAAGATGTGGCAATCAAATGTCCTCTGTTGTCTACTGAGATGCCGAACCTTTGCTAGGTGCACTCTGATAGTTGGCTGTGCTTTTGCCTCCTACGCAGGACCCTGGAGCAGCTGAATGTCTCTGCCTTGCCACAATGCATGGGCTGGCTGCACAGAAAGCTACAAGCACCTATTACTTGTGCTGATGAAATGTGTAACTTTTAGGTCAGCTTGCGGAAGGAGAACGCGCAGACTACGCACCAGTTTCCATCAGCAGCAGGGTGCTTTGGGTTGCAGACCTGGCAGTGCATTGGCTCCTACTTTCCTGAACCCCGACCTGAGTCCTGGGATCTGCTGTATGGCTTCAGTTCTTTATCTGGACTGTGAATCTGATTAGGGGAAGATATTTACTTACTGTGAGCCAGAATCAGGGTGTGCCCGTAGTGATTAATGGTGCCAACAGCTAACTTCCTGAGGTCCCCACATGGAGATCCTCTGGGCTGGGGGCCAGCAAATCACAGGTCCTGTTGGAGACTGCAGCCAGTGTCATTACCTATGACTCACGTAAAAGTAGAACTTTGATCTTTGCAGAAATAACAGGATGCACAAAGCGGTTGGATGTATCCTGTGAGGACACACCTTGCTGTTAGCTGTCCATCTGCACTTACTACTGTAGAGGCAGAAGAAAGCTACACTTGGGACTTTGAAAACATAACTTTTTTTTTATACAGGAGCCTGTGGCCATAACGTACAGATTCCAGGATTAGCGTGAATGGTAATCCCAGCTGCCCCTTTCTCTAAGGAAAGACCTGATGGGAAGGGGCTGTGGCATCAGCTGTTCTGCTATCTGTTTGGGGAGGAAGTTTGAGGACTGCTCGAGGGCGTGGATAATTTGCGCTCCTTACCGTAAAATAAGCCTGAAGGGGTTAAACTCATCCTTTTCTTCCTAATGATGTGGCATCTCAGTCTGACTGTGATGTGATGAAATAACTGAGTAACGATGAATATTTGTCTGCTCGGCTTGTGTGGTGGAGCGGAGTGCACGTAGGCTCACTGCTGACTCGGTTTGCAGCTGCGTACGGCTATGGTGGGATTGCAGGAGAGAAAGATGTCTTGGTTCCAGTTCCTTGTAAGGCATGAAGAGACGCCTTCCCCCATCAGTATAATGTTGATAAATGATTGTTTTCACATGGCTCAAACAAAAGAGCACCAAAATCTGAAAGGTCATGGGTCAAAATATATTGTGTCATTGGGAGCTCTTGTTCCTCCTCCAGTGTTATTTCTGTTTCAAAGGAACTTTGAATTGATGGCTGAACATACTCTTACGACTTTGACTTTGATGCTAGAGAGTGTTCTTTCCCATAGTTCCTGAGTTTATATAAACCCACAATTCCCCTTCCCATAAATGTTTTGTTTCTCTGTGGCTCTTCTGATCATCTGCAAAGATAAGGAGCCTATGGGATGTCTATCTTGGAGCTAGGCTTGATTATTTTTTTTTTGGTTGGTTGGTGTTTTTAGGTCCTTTCTTTGCCTTATGACATCTGGATTTGATGGCCTTTTTTCTTTCTTAATGTTTCTGCTGATGCTGTGAATCTTTTAAGCCATTAATCAGCTTTCTACCTTTTCCGGCAAGCCTAGTGTGCCTTCTGTTATGAACGCTTCTCTCTATTTGCTACTGTCTCTCTGGGTTCCTGGAAGTCTAATTAGACTAGAGGCTTCCCCATCCCACCAGCAGCTGTAACCTGTAACAAATGTCTGCCTTGTTGTCAGGGAGCTCCAGTTTGCCTGCCTTTCTGCAGGGGCTCTGGCAAGCTTTCCTTCTTCCATAGAGGCACCCTCTTAGTAAATGCCAAAGGACACTTTTTGTTCATTCCTAACAACTGCTGAAGAATTTAACCCTCAGCAACATCTTGATCAAACAGAATGAGCGCTCTCCTGCCAGCTTTGCATCTCCAAAGGATATTGTCCTTAGTGCTTTACATTTTTACAAAAGAAATGGAAACTGTAGTAGCACTGAACATGTGTAGTGTTGATTATCTGTACCCTCAGCTGTCTGAGGCTCTGTGCTGGAAGGCAGGAGAGCACGATGAGTTCAAATACCAGTGTCTGTCCTTTGGGCCCTTCTGGGCTTTAGTCAAAGGAGCTGAACTTGAGCATGTTGGAACTGCAGCTCAGGCAGCTTTTGCTGAAGAATATACAATTGAGGAGCCGTAAATATGAATAGCTTTCTTGATATGACTTCTGTGCTGCTGTCAGCTCTCTTTTATCCACTACAGACTATGACTCTGGGATGTGTTCCCTGTACAAATTATGGTTGAAAACAATCCCAGCTGCTGAAACGTGGCACAAATCTCTGCTCCAAGACTTGGGTAGAGAACTGCCTGGGTTTCCCATAATAGCGGGAAAGTAGCAAGCAATAGGGGGAAACATGGCAGTTTCTTTTGCTGATAACTCAGTAAACTAATCTTTACAGGGCAGCCAGGTACTCTAATAGTATATCCCAACACAAACAGCTATAGAAATCCGGCAATCTGTACCGGTCTGTTCTCAGTCCCGCAGAACGAATTGTTCTTTCTAGCAATAGTCTTACTCTGTAAGCAAAGGTAAAAGTCCCTGCTAAGGAGATGTTAACTTAAGGATGAAATGTAATTTCTTGTGGCTGACTCCCAACAGCCTTGGGGAGGGTTGTTACCTTCTTGAACCATTTTGGTTCATGTAGGTGGGTCTGGAAATAAATAGGACGCAAAGTGATTACCTCCCCTGAAAGGGCAATGAGCCAGGCTGTTCCGGATTGATCCTCCACATTCACAGTCTGACTCTGTCTCCGAGAGTGTCCTGGCACAAGTTTTGTCAGAGACTCTGGGTTATCTGAGCTGTTCAGAACAGGACTTTTAAGTGCATATGGAAGATTTGGAGTAGCGGAGGGCTCGGTATGTGGCTCAGCCTGATATGTGCAGGGGTTTAGAGATACGTTCCACAAGCTGACCTTTGTTCCTCTGCAGGTCCTTTGCCTTTGAGGAGCTTATCAACAATTGCAGCTGGAGTGGAAAGTAGCTTAGCTTTTCATATTTCCATTCTGGGGTACAGAGACCCCTGAAAATAAAGCTTTCAGCACGGGTGTGACACAGAGACACCACATAAGGTAGATATTAATAAAGCAAACATCGCAGCCCTCTCTAATCATCTAACCTTTAGGTTAGTTGCTTCTTGCTCAGCACTCTGAAAACACCGCGAGTACTGGTTGACAGCATTCAACCCATCGATTCTCAAGTAGCACTAGCAAGGACATAAAACAAGTTTAATGACTCGCATGGCTTAAATTCCCTTCAGTGTTGCCAGAACTCATGCCCAGTTTGCTCTCTACAGCTTCTTTCTCAGAGAGAGTGCGGAACATGTCTCCGGATGAGATCAAAATCCCTCCTGAGCCTCCTGGCAGATGTTCTAACCACTTGCAGGTTGGTATAAGTCTACTTTATTTTTTTTTTTAAAAGGCTTGCAATTCAGTAGAGGGGGGAGATACTTGGGAACTCTGCTCAGCATTTTTGCACAAGTCAAAAATGCAGCTTTAAAGCTGGGGTTTTACCACAATGAACTTATAAATGCATTGTATTACTGCTTTAGACTTGAAAACAATTCTAGTTTAGGAATCCAAAGTAGCTTAAAGCTCTTTTCCAGTTTCTGTGGGTCATTTATGCTTTAAAATGGCTCTTGATCCCACCAGCAACACAGAAGCAATGTTTACTGTGAAGACTGCTATCCTCTTACCTCAGCAAATTCAGCTCTGGAGGAAAGAACAAATCATTGTTTTTCTATACGGGCCCAAGAATCCCCTAACTGGAATATTTGAGGCAGCATTGACTGGATTCCTTTTCCACCTACATATCTCTAGATGATAAACATTTAGAGGGAAGGCTAGTAACTTAGAGGCAGCTAAAGAAAACAAATGCATGTTTTCTCTGGTGCACACCCAAATAATCTCAGTAACCAACTTTGCAATAACCTTCTGCTCTGTTCTCCTCCTCCTGATGGAGGGCAAATGAAAGAGCAGGGGCTGCTGTTTCCTACCACCCGTTTGAGTTTTAACTGCAGATATCTGCCCTGTAGAAATACAAGTAAAGAATCACTTCTGGAATGCTCTATAAAGTAAGCTACTAATGTGCAGCGGTGACTCAGAATGACTCGCCATCACAATCACACTTTCTTCTTCTCCGCAGAGTGTACCTGGGCACACCCGTTCCTCCTCGCGTGCTGCAGGAGGATTTTACTGTTCTGACATCAATGAATTAGAGTGCGTTAGATCTGAGGAATGCACAGAGCTTGAGAGAGTAGACAGAATAAAGCAGATTTTCTTCCCCTTAGACAACAGTTTACTATGTTAAATCAAAGGAAAACTTGTCCTCTGTTAGCAGGTCAAACCACATCTTAGAACACTTTGAGCAAGGAGATGGGATTGTTTTTCAGAGATGCAAAATGTTCTAGGCTTTTCACTGTTGATTTGCTCTTTCCTTTTGTCAGATTCTTCCTCTAAAAAACTGTATCTTGAACTCTGGCAAAGGGAGTATTTCTTATTATAAAGTTGACTGAGTAGTTCCCCATCTGTGGGCTTTGTGAACCAGAGTGCTCCCTACAGAGAGAGGGGACAAAAGGGAACACCCATTCAATCTTTTCTACTCCCCAAATTCACCTTCTTGCAGTTGTTCCTTCAAGCCTCGCGATATGTGTGCTGGATGTGAAGATTGTGTAATTTCTTCTTGCTAATTTTGTGAGAATCTGATGAAAATTTATCTTAAAGCTTTTTTTAAAGTTGATGAAATAGGAGTTTCATATCAGCTCTTAACAATCCTCTTTTATTCAGGTGTCAGCAAACCCTTAGACAGTAGTCAGTTCTGTACTCGAGTTGACTGTCCATATGGAGGGACACATGAAATGACTTATCCAGAAGCAACAAAGGAAAATTGACTCAACTCTCCCATCCTGAAAGACTGAAGGTCTAGCCTCTGGTCTTAGTTTGTATGCCTCTTGTACCTGAGAAATTTGTGTCAAAAAGAAAAGATGAAGGCAATTACTGAGAATGTTCTCCTAGTGGTACCACTTAGGTATATGTGCCATCTGAAAGTTTCTGCCTTTGCTATCCCTTCAGCATCACTAGAGTAAAAATAATTTTAAGGTCTTTCACTGCCTTGCTGAGGAAGGAAAAAAAAAAAAAAGGTTTATTTTTAAATCTTTCAGTCGTTTTGGAGAGTAGACTGCTCGACGCTTCCAGCTGATGCTGAGTCAGTTAAGTTGCCTTTTGCAGGGGCTTGTGGCTTCAGTAAGATACCCATAGACTTCGTAACTATGTGAGTGATCTGTAAAAAGAAGCTGGTTCCATCTAACTGGTCTCTTGTGGCAAAGCAGGGACTTAAAAGTGCATTGTTCCTGAGACCGTTTAGCTGCCAGTAGGCACCACCAGCAATACCTGATGATCACACTGGGTTTAGTTCTCCAGCAGAACTTGGCTCTGCTTCTGTGTTTCTCAGGCACAGCCATGAGCTGTCCCTTCTGTGCAGTGTATCCCCGCAGCTGTTTTTCAGATGCACCTTAAATTGTGGGAGAACCTTTGTGGAATTCACCTGTCCCTCTCAGAGCTGACTTCTACTTCTCTACAGTCATAGCTATAAAGGGAAGCAACAGACTGGGGAGGAGTGTGCACTACTGCCTAAAAGCAAATCTGTAATCACTGAAGCCTTCAGGAAGTGCAAAGATCAATTCCTTTACCCATCTGAACAGTTCATGAAGATACTTTCAGACCTGAAAGGCAGGAGTGTCTGTACTACTCAGCCTGCCTGACCATAGGGGAGAGGTGGAATCCTTGCTCTGTGCAAGGGAGGTCACTGGTTCAGTTGGCTTGTTTCCATATGTGCACTCTTGATAGTCAGCTGATGTGCTCCTCCTTGCCATACTGGCTCACACTGTAATCTTTCTCCCTTAGGATAAAATTCAAAAGCTATACGAGAGGAAAATTAAAGAGGGCATGGATATGAACTATATCATTCAGAGGAAAAAGGAGTTTCGCAACCCCAGGTGAGCCACCATCTTTTCCTGTGTGACCAAAGCACCACAGAATAAATTCCAAGAATTTTCCTCTTTGTTGGAGTTGTAGCAGAAACAGGATCCTGAGCAAGAAGTACTAGTGCTTACAAAAATGAGAAAGACATAATTTGATTGTAACTGGGCAATAAAATTCTTCTTTGAGTTCTTTTGAGGCAACAACTAGAGTTGCTGTGTTGGTTAGATTTTAAAAGTACAGGCTTTGCATGAAATATTTTAGAAGATGTGTCTTTTCTGGGAGCTGGGAGATTAATTTGAGGGAAGTCAGAAATGCGGTTAACGGCATGCCACATCCATCATAGCAAGCGTAGCTTCTTAGGTTCTGATTTGACTCTTGCGGTGTGAAGAGGTGACAGCCTCTTTCTACTAACAAATCTGAAATACTTCCATTTCCTTCCAGCTCGCTGTCTCTGTTCTCAACTCTTGTCTTTCCTTTGCAGCATCTATGAAAAGCTGATCCAGTTTTGTTCAATCGATGAACTCGGTACAAATTATCCAAAGGTGAGGTGCAACACTTTTTACTGGCAAAGGCGTGGGTAAAAAATAACATAGGGGTGTAAGGTCTTACCTCAGGCTTTCTTGAGCCTGCTTGTTTAGAGGTCCTTGAAGGGAACTTTAGTCTGATCCTCTGCATTGAAGTGAACATTTTTGTGTGGTACTGAGCATCGGTGCCTCCAACTTTGTTACAGTGATTCTGAACAAAAACTGCTGAGGTGGGTCAGTATACATGAAACCCCTTGGGAGGGAGAGAAGCTGAGCAGCAGAAAAATGCCTGTCTTATCCCAGCATTGTTTTGGCTTCAAAGCTGTTTCTTCATTCACAACAGAATGTGATCCTATAAAAGAAGGTCTGATGTGATCTTCCTGTCACCAGGATACAAGAAGAAATCAGTAACGAATATCATCAGTAAACAAAAATACATACAGTGTTTTTGAACTGGATTTTGTGTATATGTGGAAATAGCCCTAATCTGACTTTTTTCTTTCTTTCTCTAGGACATGTTTGATCCTCATGGCTGGTCAGAGGATTCTTATTATGAGGCACTAGGTAATTCCAGGAAGTCTTCTTTTGTCCTAACTTAGCTCTTTGTGTTTTGTAGTTAATTAACTGCTCTAGAGTCTTCGCTTCCTTTATAAATGAGAAGTCATTACATGCTGCTCTTTAACTACTTCATTCTGGTTGGATGTGCCTGAATGTTATTGATGCTTCATCAGTCTGGAAAGCCTTTTCATTTAAATTGGTTCTTCAATGTTTTCATCTCTTAAATCATTAATTTAGTGAAGCAATGCTTTGATTAAAACACAATAGTTCGTTTCATGGCAGTTCAATTTTCTATACACAGTATGAAGTTTTTGATTGTTTATGATGGGAAGTGTGTGAGTGAGAGCGAGCTATGAGTTTTTGCTGTTCCTAGTGCTTCTTGTAACTTCTGATCTTTCTCAGCTAAAGCCCAGAAGATTGAAATGGACAAATTGGAGAAGGCCAAGAAGGAGCGCACGAAGGTAGCTATTCAAAACCAAAAGAGATGGAGATGCAGGGTTTTGTTTGTTTCCCTGCTGAATTTCACTTGTTGCTTTGCTGTTTCTTATGAACTGTGCTCTGTGCTAATACTGTTTGTTTTTTCCCTGGTTCTGTCCTTTCTTCTTGCATGTCTTTTTCTGCACAGATCTGCACAGATCAAGTTGTTTGTCCTTCCTTATAGGTCTGTTACTCTAGGCTGTTTATTCCGCTGGATTTCCTTCTGTTTTGTCAGTATTTTTAAACCACAGCTTTTAAAATGGTATTCAGCAAGTCAGATACAGGCAAGATAATGCATAAAAAACACCTTTTTTTTTTTTTTTTCTTGATCTATGACGTTTTGCCTGGTGGCATAGCCTAGTTATAGCTTAATTTCCTCACCGTACCTCACTGTGAGACAATATCTCCTTTCTGGTCTCTTTGATATTGCCTTCTTGCATCTAATTTCCAGAAACGTTGGGCCTATTTTAACTTAAACTGGGCTTGTTGCAAAATGTACATTCTTTTGTACCCCCAAAAAAGAACAGAGACAGGCTCTGGGTCATTTTATTCCCGTCCTTCAGTGGTGTTGCCTTTAGAGAGTGGCTGGCCTTAGAGAACTGTCTAATGTTAGAGATTGCCATCTAACCTTGCAGAAGGCTCCTTCCATATTCAGTATGTGGAGGTATTTTTTTCTTGCAGCGCATGCTGTGTCTTGCTGCTTATTTTGGGTTTTGCACAGTAACCCAGGTATCTGATTACGTGCTTGCCCATATCTGCAGTTTTGAAAATACGAGATTGCCTGCTGTTGTAGCTCTTGTTGCTAGGTTTCCTGCTGTGATGCAGTCGCAGCAAATCGTGCAGGTAGGGACTTGTCTTGCATGTTTCTTAAAGGAAAAAGAACAGCAACTTCTAACTGTAAAAATGCATTCTTTAATGACCCGGATCTATCCTTTCTGAGCTATATCAAATTCCTATGCTTACACCAGTTAACAGACCTATTTTTATTGTACCTGACTTAGGAGCTGGGTTGCAGGAGTACTTAATGATCATGACTTCAGGATGCTTTGGCCTGAGGTCTATGGCTGTCTTCCTGCGTGACACTCAGCTTGGAGGCCAGTGTCTTAAATGGCATTAAAGCTGTTCTTAAAAACATAGAGAAGCAATGTGGGTTAAAAAAAAAAGATTATGTATACTAACTTTTCATTTTTATCTTCTCCCCTTTCTCTTCTGTGTCTCTCCCTTTCCAGATTGAATTTGTGACCGGCACTAAAAAGGGTACAACAACAAGTGCTGCTTCTACAACAACCACAACAGCCAGTACCACTGTGGGAGGTAAAGAACAATTGTGACTGTACCTATTAAGCTGCAATAATGCTGGGATTAGTGCTTCCGGGAAACCCTGAAGGTTCCTTATTGATTGTGTATATAGTGTTCCTTCCAGGAGCTGATGGACTAGCTTTCCTCTAGTCCCTGTATCCCATGGCTGTCCTTCTGCAATGGAAGCTTAGGAGGCAGGTTGGATAGTGAAGAGGTTTAGTAGTGCGTGAAGAAACCTGCTGGTGTTTATGGTTGTAGAATGTTCTTGGGACTGATGCATCTCAAGAGATTTGGAAAGACTGAAAATTGCCCTCCTGCCTGCAGTCTGCCTTTTAAACTGGGAGGAAGGGAGAAGAAACACTGCAGGCTGCTGAGCGTGTCCTGTGCCTCTACCTGAGCAACTGAGATTTGTGTGCTCTGTTAAAATTAAATGTGCTTTGGGGCAGGGAGTGAACCCGTGTCCCATTTGGCTAGAGTTCAGGTGTAGAGTTTTCCTTTGACTCTTGAGGTATGCGGTTGTCTTTCCTCCTCAACATTACTGCCAGTGTATGCTGAAATTAATGTGAGGGAAAGTTGTCTGGCCAAGCAGCGGTATATTAAGAGTTGACAAGACGGGGTGTTACAAAGGGATTGGTGACCTTTAACATACTGCTAATCCTCGTTTGCTTGATCTAACCAAATTCACAGATGCCCAGAAGAGGAAGAGCAAGTGGGACTCGGCCATCCCTGTAACAACGATAGCTCAGCCTACCATCCTCACCACTACTGCAACGCTGCCAGGTGTTGTCACAGTGACAACCAGCGCGAGTGGATCCAAAACTACAGTCATATCAGCTGTTGGCACCATTGTGAAAAAGGCAAAGCAGTGACTGGCGAGCTGGTCCTGGATTTTCGGACTTAATTGTCATTGAAGCCGTTGTTCTTGGAAGGGAGGGGTAGCTTTCGCCTTTGGTAAAAGATGACAAGATTCTTTGAAACAGACCACAGTTCCCTTTTGAAAGAATGGGGGCAGGAGCAGGCATGCCAGCCGTGTGCCCACAGGAATGGACCTCTGCCGAAAATGCCTCTGTCTCTTCTTGCTGTGGGAAGAACCAGTCTGTGTGTGTTGTACGGGAGGAAGATGGTATCTGGAGTCAGCTTGTAAAAGTTAGCTTATTAAATTATGGCGTTAGGGTCCTACCCTACTTGCAAGTCTGGTTTGGGGTGAGGGGGAAAGGCAAGTAGCGAAGGAATATCAGTATTACCCTTTTGTATTCCAGGTCACGCTCAGAGGCTGCCAGCAGCTTGTGGTATGTACCTCCCTCACGTATGCTAACTTAGTTCCAAAGGAATTAAAGCAGAGACAGTTGGTCAGTGTCTGTCTTTAAATGTGTAGCAGAGACTTGAGGTGATCTGCATCTATGAATGTAGACTCACTCTTTGTTAAAGTACTGACATCTGTACCTGTGTGCATATCTGCATAGACCTTAGTGACCATGTGTTAAATAGTTGAACTACTGAGGAAACTGTCCTGAAACAGTCTTGTTACCGTCTCGCAGGGATGGAGATTTCTATGCAGAAACCGTAAGATGTAGAGGTTTGATTTGTGAACTCATTTGCAAACACCTGTGCAGAAAACTCTTCCATTGCCATGGAATGAGATTGGAGAGCAGATAAGCAGAGGAGAGCGTCTGATCTTAATTGTGATATTGTCCATCTTTATACTAGATCGTGATGTACTGTGACATGCACACATGGCAGTTATTGCTTGCTCCACTGTTGCGAAAAAGTATTTTCAGTTGAAAATTCTATTGTATAAATCTTCTTACCCATGCAGCAAAAAATTACTATAAAAATGAAAAAGTCTTAAAAAAAGCCCTGGTGTCATAGATGTGTCTCCATTTCTTATCCTGGCGAGAGAGAATCCGTATCCATTTGTTGTGCTTTGGGTTACAGATACCATGAGGTGAGTATGTAATAATTCCATGGGAGTGGGGGTGGCATGAAGGTTTTTTCACGTGGTGGATTTTTTTTAAATCTCAGACTCTGGGGGGAAGGGGGCATTAAATAGATTTTGATTGGAAATACTTTTGTTGTAGAGGATGTTCTGAAGTAGTTGGTAATTCAGCTGTTCTTAATGTTATGTTTTTCAAACCTATTCTTGCATCATAAACTTCTTTAAAAGTTACCTTCTAGCACTAGCACCTGGGTCTTTCATAAAACCTTCATCTGTAGAGGACAATTCCTAAAAAGGAGAGGTCGGTGGGATAAATAACTTGAATGGTTCCATTTGTGTAGAGAAACAGCTGCTAACCTGGACTTTTTTTTTCTTCCATGCAGTGGTCACTCCAGATTATTTAAATGGTCTTTAATTATTAGATCATGATATTTCAGATTCAGTAATTTTTCTGTTTCCCATTGTTTTAAGTTAAATTTCTACCCAGAAGGTGTTTTTTCAGTGCATCAGCAATGACAGGAGAGGAGGTTGCTAGATCGACAAAAGTGTAAGTTTCTTAAAAACCAGTGTTGCTTTTTCAGAGTTTTTCTGTCTGTTATGTCACTCCTGACCCAGGCTTTGCATTTATGGAGACCCAAGGAAGAAATGAGAGGTTGGCTTCCTGCTTTTAAATAATTTTAAAATGTGTTAAACACTTTGTCTTAGCAGTCATTTTAGCTTTAAAAATCACCTGTGTATCCAGGAATGCTCATGGGGGAGAAACCAGGGGACTGATGAGACAGTAGCGTGGGAAATGGGGGAGATGGTGGAATTGCTCTTTTTTTTAAAGCAATGAAATGTTGAAAGGCGTGAAAGCAGCAAGGTGGAAACGTCTCTTCTGTTGAATGACTCTCTGCTGGGCTGCTGATGTGATTCCTGCAAGGCTCAACTCCATCCGTGTCCTGCGGAAGATGGTAACAGCCCCGTTGGCTGAGGGGTGTCTCCTGCTTTGAGACTGTTCTGTGGTCTGCAGAGGATGACACACTTCACCTCAACTATTCAAGGTGTTTATTACTCTGCCTTGAGGATCAGAGTTCATAGAGTTTTCAAGGGGTTCTTTTAAAGGCTGGCGATGTAATTGTGGTGGGAAGTACAAGCCATTAGGTAGCTGTGCAGCTCCGTAAGGTAACTCTCCTGTCTAGAATGTCTTGTGCAGTTCCGGCCTGTTTAAAACTGGTATGATATACGTATCTATTTTAAAGTTCTGCTGAATGACATGTGGATGAAGGTACAACGGTAAAACTGCAGCAAAGTGGGCAAACTTTGGGCACCAGAAGGATCACTGCAATCGTCTGCTGCTGTGAATAGGGCTGGGAGGTGTGTCCGGGCTCTAGAACAACATTCCTCTAATGAGTGTCTTTAATGTGTGTGACTCTGAGTGAGATTAAATATCTCATTGAGATGTGTGCCAGTGCGCAGAAACGCAGCCTGGTGCCAGAGGTACCAGCCAGTCTTGTGCGTCCCCCCCTCTGTCCTGTCTGTAACTGGTGGCAAGCACAGAGTGGGAGAGGCTGAGACTACATCAGTTTAACAGATCTTTCCAGTTAAGCCTAAATATTAATGTAAATTATAATGGCAAAGATTTGGTGCCTTTTGTAAGAACTGACCATCGTTTGCCTAATGTCTCACAAGTCCTGATAAGTGGTCGCTCTGTCTCCTGACAGACAAAAACCCCCTTCCAAATGTCATCTTTTTCAGACTGATTACACAACTGTGATGTGAAACCCCTCTCTCGCTCTTGCCTTCTGCTCAGTTTCTCGCTTTCTTTAGTAATTTGGAAAGACCATCTTCTATGGAAGTTAGTAACTGCATCTGACAGATAATGCAGTAAAAGTAATTCTTGATCCTGACCAGGAACAACTGTGCTAGATGGGTTTGCTTGATTACAAGGAAATATTATCTATACACCTAGTTAAGCATGTCAGCACTGGTTTCTGTGTGCCCTGCCATCGCGGGGGGAGAGCAGCAGCAAAGGGAAAGGAAACTCTGTGTGAATAGTTTTTGGTTGGGTGGGTTTTTTTATTTTTATTTTTGGAAAGCTGCTACCAGATTGCAGCTGAACACGAAGCAGAGGAATAGGTTTGCAGGAAGAGAAAAAGGACTTTGATTTTAAAAAAAAAAATAAATTAAGTAAAGTGCCATCGGGAGCTGCGAGTATGAAGCCGGGCTCCAGCCTGCTGCTCGGCACCTGCCACAGGGCAACTGCTGAAGTTCTTGAGGATGAATCATTGAACTCCAGAAGCTACTGGACATTGTTTAAATGCAAATATCTTACTCATATCACATATCCTGGCACCCCACCCCTTCCTCTTCCATGCGCCCTCTTCCTTCTTGCTCCGCAGTATCCATAGTCATTCCAAACCTCTGGGTTTCTCTGCAGACTTTACCACCAGTGCTAAGAAACACTGCCCGTGTGGCTCCTGCCGTGCTGCGGCAGACAGGGACCGACCGACCGTGCCCAGCAGCTCGGGAGCAACAGGCAAATGCTGCCCAGCGAGGTTGGATGGTGCCGCGTGGAGGGATAAGGAGAAAACTAGTTGGCAAACTCCTGTAGTAACAGGCTTCTGCAAGGACCTGGCTAAGCTGAGCTGCGCTCTGAGCTCTCAGGGCTGAGTGTTTGCTGTCCGCAGCGGAGAAACTTGAAAAGTGCATGATTTGGTGGTTTGGGGTTTTGGTTTTTTTTTTTCCTTTCCTCCCTCTCACCTTTCCAAAAAGCTGGAGTGGAGACGCCAACCATTGCGTAACAAACTTGCAGCCAGTACAATAGTTCGCTGCTCTTGTTTATCTGGCGTGTTGCTATCGGAAGTAATAGACGGGTACGCAGGTTGGAAACTACAGTTCTAGGAAAAAGCCTCTTTCCTACCCCTGAGAACCTGATGGTACAGGTTGGTGACTTGCACGTGGCCGTGGTCACTCAGCACACCAGGGAAAGCTGGAGGCAGCTCCAAGCGTGCGAGAGCGATGTCCTGAGGGAAAAGGATCCTTTCCTGGCCTGTGAAACCGCAGCCTGAGGCCCTCAAAAGAGAGGTTTGGCTCCTTTGCTCGTTAGCAGTCTGTATCTGTGGTCACACCAGGGGCTGTGTGAGGGCTGCTGAGCGCGGGAGGGACCTGCTGGGTTTTGAAGAGCCCCCGAGAGCTGCAAGCTGCGTCCGAGCTGCACTACGGCAAACTCAGCTGATGGAACTAAAGGTTTTTTTTATGCTGCTGCTGCAATAGCGATTGCTCAGGCTGCACTTCTGACCCCTAAAAGCTGCAGATATTCCTTCTTACCTCTCCTCCCAAGGGGAGACAAACTGTACCCAGCAGAGTAAAACCGGTGCCTTTTCCATTATTCCTTAGTCTGAGGATTACAGGCTCGTGCTCCTTGGGAACAGCGGGGCTTCCCTCTGCGTACCGCCTTTTAAATCATGGGTGTCTCCTAGCTTGAGCAGGTTTGTCTTAGCTGAAACTCCACGTTCCAGCGTGTCTTGGCCACGGCGGGCTGCGCCGAGGAGGGAGGAGAGCTGCCGTGCTGAAGTCATCCCTGGCAGAGCTGGTTCTGCTCTCGCCCTCCCTTCTGAAGTCTCTTCTCCCACCTCCGTGCCCCGAGGTGTTGATTTTTCTTTCCTATTTGCTTGTTGTGATTTAGAGATCTCTCCTCCTTTGATGCCGTTGTGGGAAGGCATTTTGTGTGTTGAGGATTTGCTTTTCTTTTCCATCTCGCCGGGTGCCACCTGACCCACAGAGCAGGTGAGGAGGGGCAGCGCTTGCCAGCCCCACCTCAAACCGTAAAATGGGAGCACCCGAAGCTATGTTTTAGTTGGATTGCTGCTGTACTGTCTGTTTTACGAGAGTTATTTACTGAGACTTAAAAAAAAAAAAAAAAGAAGAAAAGAAAAGAAAAAGTCTTTCTTGCAGAGGCTTTGGGCTGTGCCAAGGCTTTGCCGACGACCCGGGCGGCTCTGAGCAGCGTGGAGGCGATTGCTTCGGCCGGCGTCCGGCCAGCTGGCACCTGCGTGAGCTCCTTTCCAGCCCTTCTTCATCGCAGGGGAGAAGAAGCTGTAGCTTTCTGTGAAGCCCCTCAAACAGATGGTCTTTGCGACGTGTCCAGAAAGTTATCAAAGGGTGTGGGGGCTGCTCGCTCCTGTTCAATGTGTGAAGCCGGGAAAGCCCGGAGTTGTTACCTCCAGAGAAAGGCTGCCCGGGGAAGCGGAGGAATTGCCATCCCTGGAGATATTTGAATGATGGGTAGACGTGATGCTTAGAGACATGGTTTAGTGGTAGTGGTGGCAGTGTGAGGTTGATGGTTGGACCAGATGTTCTTAAAAGTCCATTCCAACCCAGACGATTCTATGATTCTGTGGAAGAGAGATGCTTTTCAGCAGGGCTCTCTAAGACTGTCTAAGGTTAAAATAAATAAATTGTTGTTGAGGGGCTGTGAGGTTCCACCAGAGTCGCCTCTGCCTTTTGGTGAGCGTTTACACCAGCGTCTTCATGTCTCGCTCTTACCGCGCAGTTTTCCAGCGCCGAGCCGTGCCATGCGCTGCTGTTCCTCTGACTGTTTATATCCAGCTTCCTTCCTTTTGTTCTAAGCGAGAACCATGGACACCGATGACTTCCAATATTTAGCCTTTGTTTATTTGAAACTTGTCTTTGGCTGGGGCTGGGCTCGTGCTTTCGGTTGCCAATAAACAGCAAAGCACCGGGATTTCACGAGAAAAGCTTTTGCCATTTCACGTAGAAGGCGTCTGTCTGTCTGTCCTCTGCCATGTTTGTATGATCCAGCATTAGGAAGAAAACAAAGCTGCCTTTTGGTGCAGCGATGAAAGGTGAAGTTGCTGGTACTTTTAACCTCTCTCCTCTTTGTGTAACCTCCTGTAGTGCCTGGAGACCATGACAAAGGGTGACAGTCCACTTTCTCTCCCAGTTTGTCTTGGCTGCCTCCTCCCAGGGCACTCGCCCACACTATTGAACGTCTCGTGTGGGCACAG